GAAAGAGGCATATGGCGACCTTCCATTGCCAGCTCCGGCTTTCATGTCAGACTACGACACCGGACTTCCTCCAGCCGGAGCCTCGTCATCTCTCAGCTCTGGCCGTCCAAGCCGCCTGAAGCAGGTCGGAAGAATACCCAGGGTGGTGAGCCATCGTCATGACCCTCCTCTGTCTCCTCACAGCTTTTCTCGTCCATTCCGCCGTAGCATGACCTTCAGCCCACAGGATTCGGTCGATCTGGATCCAAATTTTGTGGCTACAGGCCTAGAAACACCAGTAGAGCCACCTTCCGAGCCAGCAATCAATGCATTGACCACGGACGAGGCTTTGTCAATCGCTTCGCTAGCCGAATCAGCAGCCAAAAATTATCCCGCGCCTGGAAGCCAAGAAAGAGAATTCATTAGGTTCTCTCCGCGGAAGAACTCCGAGTGCACGGTTGGCACAAGTTCTAGCTCTGGGGCATGCTCGTTCAATGATTCTACCGCCGTCATTCCGCAGCCCAATAATCCACCTACGGAGGATGAGATTTGGGATGAATACAATGATCTTCTTGGAGAAGGCGAAGACAACGCTATCAGGGTTCCTTCGTCGATAATCTCACCAAGAGCGGCCCCTTTTCCCTTGTCACCTCACAAAGCCAATGCCCTCAGAGACAAGCCGATGGAGTCACCCACAATCATAATGGACGGCCGCCAGCAGTCAACGTATTCGCTTGCACCAACAAACTCAAGTCATTATAGCGCTGATATGACGGAGAGGATCCGAGCCGCATTTCAACCCCATGACAGCCCCGAACTTCCATCTGAGGAATTCCCTGCTCAAGAGGAAGATAGTGAACCTTTGCCTTTAGAGAGGAGAGCAAGTGACAAAATGGTTCGCCATAGCCTGTCACCTGTACCAGAGCGAAATTCTGATTCCAGCTTCGGTTCCGCCGCAGATGATGGATCGCCTCTATCTCAAGTCAACCTTCGTGTTGGTTCTATGACTGTCAGCAAGTGGCTCACTTTCGGACACGTTCTTTTCAGTGACGTTCGCCATGAACTGATAAACAAGACGGGGTCACTCCAGCGCCATGGTGTTCTGGTGATCGATGGCCTTGGCAACGATGACTGGTCATTTTACGCCGCAGAGACATACCCACAGGCGAGCTTCTTCAACCTTTCTCCGCGCGCGCCTCTGCCAGCGGAGTTTCGAAACTCGTCCTCAAGTTTCCCTCTTAGCCCCCCCAATCACCATCAGATCCAGTACACCTCCGCATTGGACAAGTTCCCCTTTGCTCCCCAAAGCTTCACTGCTGTGGTCTACCGATTCCCTATCGCTGCTCCAGAGTCTCACTACCGCAACATCCTCAGCGAGGCACGGCGTGTTCTGAAGCCGGGTGGCTATCTGGAGCTCTCCATCCTTGACTTTGATCTCAACAACATGGGCCAGCTCGGCCGAAGGGCGGTGCGGCAGTTGAAGGAGCGAATCCATGAATCAGATTGCGAAATGAACCTGGCGTCAACCGCAGATCTGATCGTTCGCCACATCGGGAAAGCAGGTTTTTCGAACATCAGAGCTGCTCGGGTTGGTGTTCCTGTGGCCAGTCCCATCTCCAAAGTCAACGCTGGCGTCCATGTCAGCGACGAGAAGATAGGCACAGAGAAGAAAAGCAAGAAGAGCCAACCCAGCCTCTCGGAGATGATGAGTGACAACAGCTCTACTGCGGATGAGAGCATCACCAAAATGGTGGCCCGCGTTGGACGGTGGTGGTACACGCGCTGCTACGAAACCGCCGTCGACCCAACAGCCACCGCAACTATCTGGAACGACAAGCAGCTCCTCAAAGAGTGCGAGCAACTTGGAACAAGCCTGAAGCTCATGGTATGCTGCGGCCGTGCTCCAGACCGGGTTTCCAGCATCTAACCGGTTCAAACCAACCGGCATATATATTTACAAGCATATATTTATTCATTTACTCATTTTCATTTTTGTTATCTGCATCATCAGCATGCTACATGGTTACAGGGCTCGCGCCCAAACAAAGAATGGTTCAAATTATACAGCAAAACGATTTACCTGCCGGCATCAGTACTTCATTCGATTCACCACCAACATATTACAATTTCACCGAGCCGCAGGACGGAGGACGACTGGATTTCTGGAATACTCATCGTCATTATTACTACTACTTTGGATACACGAAATTCACCGTCACGACATGCGGGACGTTTTCTTTGAGACGGAAAAAGGATATTAATTCCTAATGGGAGCTTCGCCAGCCTACTGGCGCGGCACAATGGCAGGTCATTAACCCAATTCAATTTTGCGATGTAAGGGGATGGCCTATGGAGTGGAAAATAAGGGCATAACGAAAGGAAATGACTCAACGATGATCAGGATAGCATTCTATGTTTGCATCATTGATACCCTCACACATGGATCCTGATTTTAGTTTTTTATGTATTGTCTGCGTTGCATTATATGAATAGCGAGCGTTTTCTCTTGAGTTTACACTGTTCGATGATTTACTTCTGTGAAATTTTTGAGTAATCTTCCTCTTAACGAGGGCATCATTCGTCAGTTTTTATTTTTCGCGACACTGTCTAGGTTTTCCATGATTACCCGATCTATAATACAAACACAGGCTCATATCGTACAATCGTATGCCCTCATCAACATCATCCAACCCCCATCACTCCTCTTCCACTTTCTCTCCCTCCTTGACATCCTCCTCCCGAACCTCATCCCTCGGCTTCAACCGCCTAAACACGGCAACAAATCCACCACCCACAACCCGATCCCCGACCCTCGGCCGCATCACCTGCACAATCTCCCCCTCGGACCCAGCATTCCTGGGCACGACGGTGCGCACATCCCACGGCCTCCCGCCCCCGCAGTCGTTGGCGGTCGGCTCGTCTGCCGCGACGAGGAAGGAGTTGGGGAGCTCGGCTGTACGCTCGAGGCGGAGGGGCTGGCCGGTCGTGACGGCCCATTTCGCAAAGTCTGCGATCTGGGAGATGCTCGGGTTGAAGACGACGAGGAGGCCGTTTGGTTTGAGGGCGCGGACGACGGGGTTGGCGAAGGACTCTGGGGAGGCGAGATCGAGGACGGCGCGGGAGAGGAAGGGGTTGCCCTGGGAGGAGGCGAGTCGCGGGGTGAGGTAGTCGCTGATGGAGCCGATGTGGAAGTCGACGGAGGGGAGGTAGATGGCGCGGCGGAAGCGGCGGAGGAGCTTGTATGCTGCGCGGGAGTGGGATGGGTTGCGGTCGAGGGTGTGGAGGACTGCGCGGCGGGAGGAGGACCAGTTGGCGAGGTCGCTGGCGACGTCGGGGTCCACGTCGAGGCGGGAGAGTGTCAGGGTCTGGATGGCGGGTTGCTGGTCCGGCTTGTTCTCGATGTCGGGGCTGGACGGCTCGAGCTCGGAGTCGGTGGATGGCGAGACCTCTTCCTCATCCCTGGGGACGGACTCGGCAGGCTGCTCGGCGCCGGATGTCTCAATCTCGGCATCGGCCACCACCGCCTCTCCACCCGGCGCCGGCGCCCTCCTCTCGAGGCTCGCCGTGGCGACCGCATCCCTCAGGTCCTTCCTCATGGGCGGGTTGGCCGCGTGGAGCGCCCTGGCGATGTGCATCGTCAGGCTTCCCATGCCCGTCCCCGCCTCGAACACCTCAAACACCTCGCCGTCGTCGTCGTTCTCCCCGGGCCGCTCGGGGTTGAGGTCCAGCATGGACACGATGACGCTGCAGTCCTGCGGGTAGATGGGCGTGGCCATGCGCTCGCTGTTGACAATGTAGCTGGCCATGCTGGCCTCGTGGATGGCCACCTCGCGCCCCGCCGAGTCGGTCACGGTGTCGAGGTACCGCCTGCCGATCAGGTCCTGCGCGCGGACGTGGGCGCCGTAGCTGAGCTTGATCCGGTGGGACTCGTCGTCGCGCAGCGCGGGCGTCAGCTTCCATTTTGCTCGCTTGTCGCCTCGCTGGCGGAGGAGGACGACGTCATGCTCTGGGAGATGGGGGTCTGGGGTCAGCGGTGGAACACATTGCGCAAGGCCGTCATTGTCTAGCTCACCCTGAATCAAACGATCGCATGTAAACCATCTCCTCTGAGGAGGGACTCGGTGCACGGCTTGTCGCAGGCATTGGCTTGTGGCGGGTACCCTCATGGCGTGGGCTCGACGATGGTCGCATGCTCATCAACGCTCCATGACGCAGAAAAAAAAAGACAAGGCAGCGTGTCGGAGTTCGGCGATTTTTAGCTCCGGACTTGTCTCGGCGAATGGCAAGAGGCCATTCGAACCGTTGCGCCACGATGAAAGAGCACGCCGTTGCAACTAGTGTTAGCCAAATCTAATTCACAGGAGGGCCGTTGAACACGAGATAATAAGTTTCTTTCGATATACTTGCTCCGGGATCTCACAAAGGTATATACAACTGACCTTCCAGTCCAGCTGACAGACAAACCCCCCAACTCCCACTCAGCCCTCTCATATATCCAAATCCAGAGAACCTTTTACCTCCCTCGCTCTCGTGTGCCTCTACTAAATACCTCCATTCCAACGCCAGATATCCTATCCCGTAGTGTAATCATACAATAAGATATGCGTCCGCATAACAAAATAAAAGATAAAAAGAACGAAGTCCCATACATACGTCGCGGTGAAAAGCTCCCAAACGCCAGCCATGAACGTATCGCAATCACATTAAAACCTTCGCTGGGTATCAAACCCAATCGTCCAGGCCGTTCGCCATTGTCTGTACCGTCCGCAAAATACAGATCGCTTCGTGAATATCCACCCGATGTAGCCCATCTCTCGCTCCCATAAAATGCAGCGACCAGATAAATATTCCCACCCCATAACATAGAAAACTCCGTGGTATAAGCATCAAGAAAAGGATTTTAGATATCTTGCCTCTTTGGTTGGTTTATTTGGGCGCTCAGGTGGTGTATAATTTTGTTCGAAAAATAAAATGGAATCTAGAGCTGCTGGGAAGGATAGAGTCAAGACCTTCATAAACAGTTAGATGAATCCGCCCCATCTGCTCGTGCCTCCCATGGGCTGGCTCATAGACTGGCTCATGGCGGAAGCCCAAGAATCCTGAGCGTCCGACTCGTGTGTATGCAGGTGGTGGTCTTCTTCAAAGTAGGGGAGAACTTTGACTCCCGCATGCTTCTCGAGTAGTTCGACGACCGAATCGTATTGCCGGCGACAACGCTTCGTATAGGGGTCCACCTTCACGGGGCAGTGATAACAATACGTGTTGGAGCGTGCATCCCGTACACGGAAAACCAGGTTCATCTTCTTCATCTCCTTCCAGAGGTCGTTTGCAGATTGCTTCGAGGCATCCGACTCGCTGTTGGCTGCATACAGCAGCTGGGCTATGGCAAAGCGGAGGGACATGAGATCCCCATTATCGGCTCCAGCTTGCTGCTCCATCTGGCGGTGAAGAACCCGTAATTCGAGAACCAGTTTTTCCAAGCGCTCCGGGTTTTTGTGACCATGCACCAAGGCAAGATCAATCAAGGTTCGAGTCACATATGGGTGTCGGTGTCCATAGATGGCTTCGAGCTCATCTGCGATGAGAGGGGTGCTGGCCCAGAGCATATCCGACAATGTCACAGCACCGTGCTTCTGCTGCATCTCGTAAAGGCAGTTAAAGATACATCGCAATGGGTGGGCTCGCTCATAATTCGTCGTGGCAAAAGCAGATACAAACTTGGACAGGGCAGTCATCAACCCCGGGTCTCTGCGGACCATTCCAAGAATCACCTCAATAAGGCCCAGTGGCGAAAGCTGCCTCAAGTCGACCTCAAGCTGGTTGAAAGCACCCATCAGAGACTTGCCGCCTTGTTCGACATCGCCAGCTTCGAAGAAGAAGTTGGCTTCATTTAGCGCATTGCTCGAAGGTGCACCCCAAACCATGATGGAAGCCCATCCGACCTGGTGCTCAATCTCCAGTTCCACCTGTCGGCCCTGCAAGAAGGCTTTCCTCGTGTTGCCGACGATTAGTTCCTGCGCTCTCAAGAGATCTGGTGATTTGAGATATTCTGGCGCAGGTGGCGGGGTCGGTGTCCGGCAGCGAACGTGCGAGGGAAGATCGGCGGGGAGTTCGAAGTCGACCAAATCATATTCCGTCACTCCCTTTCGCTTCAAGTAAGTACCCAGATTAACAATCTTCCCGTTTCGAACAAACTCGGATACTTTGCCCTCGGCATCACGTTGGAACTTCATGGACAGCAAACGTTTGACTTCGTCCTCGGTATTGTTCTTCACAAAACCCCACTGGGAGAAGCGAGTCTTGTACATCTTGGGACTATCGTATTCCTGTGTAAGCACTAGATCCTGGTTGAGGTCACTGCGAAGGGGCCAATCTTACGTTGCCTGAAAATTGTACTTGTCGGCCATGATAGACATGACCTCTTTGAGCGGCTTCCGCTGTTCCAGATAAAGATCCCGGATAGTGGTCTTGAATCCTTCCCAAGCCTCAGCAGGAACTTGCTCCCTGGAAGGCCGGTTGATTGGCGGAGGGCGAGATGCAACCGCATCACCACTCATCATCTAATCCCACAGATTAGATAATGATCAAATAGAATACATACAAACGCCACTCATAGAATAAACTTACCGAAAACGCATTAGATGTCGAAGGGACTTCTGACATCTGGGGGGTGGAAGGCTCTTCCTTCACAGTTGTGCTATAAGAAGAGGCGGCGGGCTTTGGCGCACGGGGCTTGGGTGGCTTGGCCGGTGCTTTTCCCTTGGTTTTGGAGCCAGGATTCAACTCCAGGATGAACTGGTTTCCAATTGGCATTGGTGGTTTCGGAGTAGTAGGGACAGGAGGTCGGAAATACCCATTGGGGCTATTTGCTTGGCTGAATGGGGTTTTGGGATTCGGGCTGGGCTGCAGATTCTGTGTCTGAATCTTCTGCTGGAGCTGAGGGTGTGCAGCTGGTGACTGATGCTGCTGAACGTGTTGCGAGTCGGGGGGCCGCCAGATTGCAAAGCCAGGAGTACCAGCCGTCAATCCTGTACCGGGTGTTGTTGGAGCAGGGGAGCCAACCATGGAACTGGTTGTCATGTGATGCCCATGGTTCATTTGATTAGCGGTCATGAAATCAAGACTCTCAAAAGGATCTCCGATAGGAGCATTAGTGGTCGGGCTGGTGACACGAGAGGCGTCTTGAAAGCTGCCATAATTCATAGGAGGAGGGCTCGTGGCAATGGGACTCGTCACACGCGACTGATGACCGCCGAAAGAGCCAAAATTGGTCTCGATAGAACCAGGAAAGCGGTTGCTGTTGAAGGAGTTGCTGTTAAATGAGTTGCTCGGTGCGGATGCATTGAAGCTACCAAAGGAAGACGTGGGCTGTTCCTGATGATTTTGATGGTGCAGATGATTGTTGGTCGCAATGGGACTCGTGACCGAATTTGACGGTCGAGGTGGCAGCATAGGAGGAGGACTCGGGTTCTTGTTCTCAAAATGAGCAACCAGCCGGCCAACACCGCCGCTATTCCGATTGCCCGCACCCGTTTGCTCTCCATTGGTGTGCCCAAACGTATTGGCTCCATTGTCGTTGAAAGAGCCCATGTTAGTGAAGTCCATGGCCCCGCCATTCTGGACTGCGCCAAACCCATCAGGCTGGAAGCCATTGCTGTAGTCGGTGTTCGGGGTCCAGTCCATGTCTCCAGACATGCTGAGCTCACGCTTTATGCTTGGGTGGCTCTCTGTCGAGTAGGCCGCTGCCGAGGGCGCATGAGATGCCTGCATTCCAAACCCTGACCATTCATCCTGTTGCGAGAAGCCATACTGCTGTTGTTGCTGCTGCTGTTGCTGTTGGTGGTGGTGGAAATGGTGTTGCTGCTGCTGCTGCTGCTGCTGGAAGTGGTGGTGGACAGCCGCATTGTGGTTGTGTTGCGGCTGCTGCTGATGCGCATGGGGAATTGAATGCTGATTGCCGCCGTGGAAGGAACGAGATTCCTGGACCTGGTGCTGGCTTTGCGAGGGAGCAGACCCGCCAAACGAGTTGGCAAAAGCATTCAGCTGCTCCCACTGGCGCTGGTTAAACATGGCGAAGGGGGCGGCGACGACTGCCTTCAGCGCCTAGCCGACAGAGCAGCGTGGTGCCCCGTTCGGCCGGCCACAGGGGCAGTCTTGGCTACGGCGGCTGGGAATGCGACACGGCGAGGCGAACTCTGCGATTCTGCGGCCGGGGAGCGGTTCATTACTGCTCTTCTTCGTTGGGAGGAGGGCGGACTGGAGTCGCGTCTGGCAGTGCGAAACAGCGAGACGGAGAGAGAGAGAGAGATGGAGAGGAAGCGGCTGTGTGGTATGGTTAGACCAGGCGGGAGTCGGTGGTGAGCGCTATTACTCGATCTGGCTGTGTGGGAAGCAGCAGAGCAAAAGAAGTGGGTGAGAGAGCGAGAGAGCGAGGAAGCCCATCAACTGAAAATGACTATTCCTAGCGACGACGTAATAACGAACGATCAGGTCACCAAAGTGCCCATGGTCGTCGGAAACAGAGCTCCCAGACGATGACGAGGTCGAGATGATGGGAAGTGGGAAGTGGGAAGGGGAGAGAGAGGAAGATCGAGGTGAGAGGCCGGACGGAAGTCTGGTCGAGTTAGGTTAAGTTGGCAGCTGCTGGGGAGAAGGCGACACTGGGCTGGGCCTGCCTGTGGTTAATTGGTGTCGGGGCCGGGCGACACCGTTTCGCTGTCGGGGGCGTGGGTGGGCGAGTCAAGAAAGCGGGGATAAGCGACGGGACGCTGAGCATCACAGCAGCATCCGCTGACACCAGCCCTGAGCGAGTTAGGCGGGTGTGCCATGTCTGTCCCTGGCAAGCGTGCCTCGATGCAGGTGCGCGACGAAGCACAATGGCCGCAGGTAAGGTAAGGTACCTGCGCGAGGTACCTGTGTTGTGGCGGGAGCCAGGGCCGAGCGCCATGTACCGCGGTACCCAGGTCGTGGAATTAGCAGGTACCTGCTATGGACACTACGCTGCATCACGCTACGGGGAGAGGAGGGAAAATAACGGGCAAAAAGCAAAAGCCACCAGAATGCGATAGAGCCGCTCGAATTACCTGGGTCTACCTTGATACGGCTCGCGGGCCACTGGCCAATTAAGGTACCTGCGTTTGCCAACCAACCGTCTTGGCTCTAGAAGACACACTACGACCCCCTGGGTAAGGTCGACTTCGGTGCTAACCTGCTTAGCCGTAGATTTCAACGGGAGTGCTGGAGCGCCGTGGCTGTCTGGGACAAGTGCCGGGGCTCAAGAGATGTTAGTTTCTCCTGGGCATCGCAGGAATGGGAAAGGAATGCCGCCAGAACAGCGGGCGAAGTGATAATCCCCTTGCCTGCGCCAACGGGGCCCTGGCCGTAAATAGCAAGCATATCGAGCAGGAACAGCGAGAGGACAGGAGAGCAGAGGAGAGGGAGCGAGCTGCAGTCCAGGCCCAGAGCGAGCCCTGACCGGTGGGCTCCGCGAGCAAGCACGATAGCCCGGGGGTTGGTTCACGAGTCCAATCCCCTACGAACCATGGGCCTCCCTAATACAATCGCGCACCACACGCAGGTAGTGTGATGGAACGCCTCATTGGGCACTAGCACAGCATGCATTGCGTCCGTTTATTACCCTGCCTCGCCCTACTGGACGCCCTAATACTGCCACCTACAGGCGTTGGGGGCGGGCTGCTACAGCGTGTGTGGGTGGCCCCTCGCCGTCCCCCAAGACGGCGAGCTGAAGTCGCGACCTCCGAAATTCCGTCATCGTTCCCCAGACTTGGGTGATGGGAACTGAGGACCTTGCGCATAAACCCCACAGCAGCAGAGACGAATTGGAGAAGGGGGACGGGGGCAGGGGCGAGCTGCTGCTGCGATTAGGAAGATTTGGGCCCATGTGAGATTAACGGCAGCACGACTGCGAGTTGGTAGGGCCAACGGAGCAATTGGCTGCTTGGACAGCGTCTTTCCCATTGCCAAGAAGAAGGCCATGTCCCAAGATGGCGCGCCAGCAAAAGTTCCTCGGCACCCAGGTCCACTTTGGGACCCGGACATTCAGGGACAGGGTGGCTAGCGCCAGTCGATTCGAACCGTTGAGTTGGGGACTGGCAGCAAACAAGTGATTGCGGTCGCTCCCTGGTGCATAGATAAGGCAAGGACAAGGTCCTTGAGCCAAAGGGCAGGCGTTGGGTGGGCAGAGAGCACGCACGTCCCATGTATGTCGCCCGTCGCGATGGTGCTGTTGCGAGGTCACTCAGCTCTAGGATTTCCGCGATGGATGAATGAGCCCACGATGGATTGAGCCGTCTGCTGCTTGTGCCACCGTGCGCCAGCGCCGAAGCGAGATGCACAGCGTAATGAGATGGGGGCTCGACATGTTTGAGGCTGGCTGCACATTCTGAGTGATGTCACGGCGTCCATGGTAATGAAGAAGGATGCTAAGAAATGACTGCAGAGTATCATATCACGATGGTCAAACGCTGGTAGTGGAAATTCAAATTGCAGTCTTGGGAATGTAGCAGTCGGGTCTGCTGATGGGGGTTGGCCGCCCGCGTGCCTGCTGCATGCCCAAGGCCAGCGGCGATTGAAGCGACAGGAAGTAGCGAGTACCTGGCCTGGACCCTGGGGAGAGCCCTTGCACCAGGCCATGTGCCAAAGGCGCTCTGGTCGCAGGTACCTGTCTCGATTCTCAGACACACTCCGATTCGATTCCACGGGCCAACTGAATTCCAGGTCGCACATGCCTTATCAGCATCCGTTACGTAGCGCCAAATCAAGGCGATCGAGTACCCGGTACATGAACCCACACTCTCCTACTCCATATCGGTTGATGATTTGCAGGTATCGAGATACCTTGCCTCTGCTATGATCAGCACCGTTCATATGAAGTATGTCGTGCACCTCTAAAATATAAGGTAGGCCCAGCATTCTGAAGCAAGCGGATGCTGCACCTCTGCATGCGGTGCAGCATCCGTCAGTGGCGCCTCAAAGCCACTGTAGATGTCATGACCTGGCCAGGAAGAAACCAGACTACAAGGCCCTTGCCCACGGCGATAGGCTCTGATAGCGGGCGACAAGGGTCCTGCCCACGATATCGGATGCAGGCGACCAGGTGCCTGAACGAGAAGGTGCGTCCCCACCAAAGCCAGTGACCTCGAGCCAGCACTCTGGATGGCAATTGATGGCAGAACAGCACAGCTCATGGCAGGGCCGAGGGCACAGCTGAGCGGGGGCGCTGAGAGTCTGTGCCACAGCGCATAATGCACCGACTCGCTCTATCGTGGGTTGATCATACCCCCCGTGGCGGTTTCAGCCAACTGCGCGAGCAATCACACTCGTTACGAAGGAATATTAGACACTGCGCCCGTCTGCATCCCATCTCACGCACCCCCACCGACGTACAGACAGCCACCCATCAGCGCCGAAGTACCTGCTGGCTACGTTGTCAGAGGTACTCCCATCGCGAGAAAAGTCCAGCCATATCATGCCATATCCATATCGCCGGGCAGCAGAGAGAGCCCCGCGTCGACGATGACGAACTGCGTCCTCCCATGCTGCATTAGCAGCCTCTCCAGCTTCTGCAGCTCCCTCTCTGGGCAACTCGCTAATGCTTAACAACACAGCTAGCGTACCTAGATGTAGATACGGCGCGCCAGGCGATTGTACCTCCCTAGATGGTGCCGAGATGGATGCACGACTACCCCCCCTCAGCCGCTCGAGGTGTCGAGGGTGTCCAGCTCGGGGGAGCGGTACATGTTCCAGAACAATTCTCGCCCATCTATTTGCTGGCGCCATCTCGGACACCCTCCCCGCGCCGTCGCCCTGCACCCAATAAGAGGCCTAGAGGGTCAGCACTTAATATCAAATCCAGGAGAGGCCATACCATGCGAGGCCAATCGCCGTGTTGGATGCCTCCCGCCTGGCGTCCTATCCTGCGACGGCACCACTGATTAAGGACCTCTCCTCCTTTGCTAGCAGCGCCGACTGCCGCGGGTTGGTCGATAGCCTTGGTGGAACATGCTCGCCAGCGACAGCAGCGATGCAGATCATGGGCTTGGCTAGGCACAGCTGGGACGATCACGGACCGGCATCCCCCAATCACATGCCCAGCCGCAGCATGTAAGCCAGCAGCCGAGTGTCAGCATATGTCGAGGAGGATCGATATCACACCGGCCACCCATAAGCGCGGAATGCGTGTTCCAACCACAGCGGACTCAGAGATGCAGCAACTGCACGAGAGTTCCACCCAGCCGCGAAAGCGTTGTGACATAGCAAACTACATACGAGAACCAGCAGGATGGCCAGCCACGGACGTCAGCGGCTGGCTCGCCATGCGCATTCCTGCGTTAGTTGAATGTGTCGGTCCTGCTCTCGCTTTATACCCAAGATAGTTACGCCTACGCCGTGGGGCTGAGAGAAATGGTGACCTTGGTTAGGGCCAAAACATGTTTCGGGCATCACCGAGAACGTGCAAAACACACTCCGTAACTCCATGGCGGCCAGACAACTCTTTAGTGCCGCCGCCGCAACGTCTGCTCGATGACGACGGGTCTTGGCTGACTGCTTAATGATCAGTCAGTATGCAGCCTACACCGGTCAATGCATGCGATTGCAAAGCCTAATGCCGTCAATGCGCTGCATTCCTCGCAGAATAAGCTGCTGCGGCCGGGCGGTCTTGCTCAATTAAGCAGCGGGAAACCCGCCCTCTAGATGAAACCTGCTTAGACATGATCCGCGACAACTCCAATTATCTTCCACGCGAGGTCTCTGTTGTGAAGACACCTTATCTGCCTTGGTCATTTTGCCGATGCCCATACGCGCTTCGCCTGACGGTTCTAGAAGTACACAACACCGTACCCATGCCGGCATCCAGATCCAGCAAGGCGAGCTCTATCTTCGATTCCTTCCTTTCTTGGCATCTGTCCTCAAGCATGCCACATGTCTCTTATCTTGCGAAAATGTTTAAAAACGGAAATGATGGCTTAGAATAAACAACAGAGGCCAAATGGGAGGGGGCCAGCTCGCCGTCTGGTCTGTGCTCTGCATGTTCCTCCCAGAGGCTATCA